CTTTGTAAGGCCCAAAATAGTTTGTAAGGTTTTCTCAGTGCGGTCTTCTGGCCCACTGTGGTGCTAGCGGCCTGCCCGCCTCGCACGCCTCGCGCAACTCGTCTCAGCAGACCGCGCGAATATTTCATCCGTCGTTATGAATGGGCCATGCCGCGCCGCTCCGCCGTACCGTGGCCGTAGGACAGGCCCAAAAGGGACTGGGATCAAACTATACACTCTGACCAGAAGAAAACGAAGAGCCCTGGGTTCTCGCGGTCAAGGACTACGCAATGCTAGCCAAGGCAGCAGATGCCATCAACCGCGAGAACTCAGGTCTCTTCCTTTTCTGGTCAGATACGGTGGTCCTAACGGATGCTTCGGTCCGGTCTCAACATCGATACCGCGCCATGTGCTTCCGAGCCACTGCCGCGAACACACTCTCGGCTTGCCGAGCGGCCGTGCGCGCCGCCCGCAACAAACTCCGCCAAGTGGGCGAGACTTTTTCAAATTGCAAATACTGAATGTGTCGACAACAAGCATGCATAATGATGCGTGCCGTGTTTGTGTGTTGGTAGCGCCCCAGGGGTGAGTGAGTGTGAAAGAGGGGGAGAGGGGGAGAGAGAGAGAGAGAGAGAGAGAGAGAGAGAGAGAGAGAGAGAGAGAGAGAGAGAGAGAGAGAGAGAGAGAGAAGACAGAGACACACAGACAGACAGACAGACAGACAGACAGGCAGACAGACGGGCAGCACCCCGCCGCCTGCCGTCCTAATGACTGACTGATGACGGCATGAGGCGTCTTTGTGTGCGCGGGATCCTGTTGCAACTGCCAATTGATTCTCGCTAATCCCCCACTCCCCTCGGCACTCGGCACGCGTCGCCCGGCGTCGCCTGGCGTCGCCTCGTCGCGGCGGGACGGCGGCGGGACCCCCTCCTCTGCTGCACGCCGACTCCAAGCGTCGCTCCCTGTCTTCCGCACAACTCGTCGGGCGCTCCGTTGGGGTGCGAGAGAGACAGAGCACGCAAGTCGAGGCAAGGCGCTTTTGGGCCTCATTACCGCGGTGGTCCCAATCGAGTGTTTCGTTTCAACGCGTGCCTCGGCTGGGATGGCGACAATCCGTCTCCTCGGCGCGCTGCACTGCCGCTGCCGCCCTGCCTGCAGCCTGCAGTTGCGTGGTTGAGAGCGCGCTTCGAGGCGTGTACCAACATCAAGCAGTGTCGTACAGTACAAATCCAAAAGTGGGGCAGTCTCCACACTATTTAGCGTCAACCAAAAAGTCTCACGCTCATCACGCTCAATGCCACACTCGTGAGGGTGAGACCCGGTTTGTCTTACACTTGCTGCCTGAGTTTGCCTGCGGTTCAATCAAAAAGAAATAACTCCAGCCAAATTTGTACACGGAAATTCATCAAACTTGTAAAATTCACTGAAATTCGTTAAAATTCATCGAAAGTCGATACAAATTCATCGAAATTTGAGTGCAATTCATCGAATTTCAACCGAAATTCGACTGAAATTCATCGGAATTCGACTGAAATTCATCGAAATTCGACTGACATTCATTGGATTTGTTCACCGAAATACACCTTGATTTCCCCTTGGGTTCAATGCCACGGATCCCACGCACTGTGGGAAAAAATCACAGTAAATCCTGTAGTGATTAGTACAGCTGTCACTGTAGTTACAGGATTTACTGTACTTTTTTAACAGGATCTACTGTACTTTGTACGGGATTTACTGTACCACAGGAGTGGAGTACGGAATATCCTGTACCAGGTACAGTAGATACTGCAGCCAGGCACGGTAAATCCTGTGTTCTGAACTACAGTAAATCCCGAAAAAAAAATTAACGGGATTCACTGTGGTTTTTTCGCACAGTGCGCTATGCAAAAGTATGAGACACACCGTGTCTCATACTTGTAAGTGTGAGACACAGATGTGTCTCACACTTGACGAAGGTGACTCACAAGCGTTAGACATTTTGGTTGACGTGAAACAGTGTGAGACTATTCCACAGTACTTATGAGCAGTAAATTCCAATAAGCCACGACGCGTTCTAGCGGTTTCTGTGCACACGGCGCTCACTTCACTTAAATTTCTAGTACAACCCGGGTGGAAGGAACTGAAGTTCTAATTATATCTGGGAATTGCAACTTAACTATTTGTTAGACTGTACGCCACATACTTTCTGTTTATAAAATAACTTAAGTTTTACTATATTCAATAAAAGTAGCCTATTTGCAGACGAACAGCAGTCAGACTGCAGACTGACCGATGCAGTTTGACTGTAGTTCAACTGTAATTTAACTGGTGAAACTGCAGTCTAACTATAGTTAACTATAGTTGAACTGCAGTCTGTTTACAGGAAAACTGGTAGTTTTTTCGGACAGAGCAGTCTTGTCTGCAGTTTGAATCATGGTTTCATCTCGTCTGTATTACAGAAGCTTTAACTCGAGTTTTATATTGAAGTTAAAATTATTTTCGAAAAGTATTTTCTGAATTTTAGTCACAAGTGTGGATTTGGAAATCACGTTCAAATTTAGTTCTGCAAGCCCCCACTGCCGACCCTGGCCCCACTCCTTCCATGTCCTTTACGTGGTTGTTTGTAATGCTGTGCCATCTCCGCAATGAGAGTGGAACCCGGTTGAAGGACGGGCGGGCAAGTCGGGTGGACCAGTCCATGCCACACGATAAGTGCTGTCGGTATGGACTAAAAATTGGAAGGAGCTAGTATTAACTAACATCGCATTCATACGTAACCATTGCATATCACCGCAGACTGCCCAGTAAGGTAGGAGAGTCTGAAGAACCGAGCGAATCGTGCGTGGACCCAACCTAATTGTCGCCCGTAGACGCCATCGAGTGCTAACACGGAATTCCGTTTTTCTCCACTTCAGTGTAATATTCTGATTCAAATTTTTCTCTAACGTCTAAAGCAGATATTTACTGAAGTGGCAGATGGTGTAACTTGCAAAAATAACTTAATTCACTAGCCTAAATAAGAAATCCCGTTTGACAAACACTCACAGCGATCCAAGCGCCACCTAGCGGCAGGTCCTTGAAACCTGGCCTGGCAGCTCGGCGGCTGACAGTAGACCACCACACGGTGTGGTGGGATGAGGATTTTTCCACAGTTTGCGCACTACCCCGACGTCTAAGAATATCGCAATAATTTTTATGCTCAACGTTAAATTTTGGCTTCACCCCGCCATGCTTAATCTCAGAGAAGAAAAACCATATTGATCGACGTACTGATCCTTGCCTTCCAGTCGTGTCGGTTTTCAATAGCCCCTTTCGCTCGTCGCCGAGTGAAGAACAAAAGTACTCTAAAAGCCCGGAACCAGTAGCGCGCCACCAAGCGGCCGTTATAGCGAACTGTCAAAAGCTGAACCCTGATTGGTCCAAGCGTAGGTCCGAACGAAGTTCACAGCATCGGCCGCTAGGTGGCGCGCTAGTAGTCCCTGCACTGTGATTACTTTTGTTCTTCAATCGCTTCCTCATTCCTGACTGCATTGAAAAGGTATACTATAAGTGTAAATTGAAGCGTAATAGTGTCTAGACAATAATCATGCAGATAAAATTGCAGATAAAGCGTTGATATACTTGAGTCAAAAGTAGTATTTTAACACACTTTTGAAGTATTGTTTAACTGAGCAATGGTGAGTGTAACATAGCTATAGATGAAGCTGAAGTTTCGACACTATTTAAGAACTGAACTCTTAACTGGAAAAAAACTGCAGTCAGACTACTATTACGAGTACCACCTGAACAGTACACAGACTTGTAAATAATTACAGAGTTTTTTCACACTTTGACTGCACTGAAGACCGCAGTTTGTGCACTGCAGTTTTTCACTGTAGTCGGTACTCAGTTAAAACTAGACTTCCTTCCACCCGGGAATATTTTAAAGACAAGCGCTTGTTTCCAGCCAACAGCGGACAAAGCCCATTCTAACCCATTTAAAGGGGTTGAAACCCATCACTCGTAATGGGTGGTGACCTCTTGATAATTAATGGGCAAGGCCCGCTTGTATAATGGGTTGAGACCCTGGGAATGGATCGAAACCCATGGGAGATGCGTGAGACCCAATGAGACCCGGCTCTTTGGGTCCGCTCAAGGAAATCCTGCAAGGTAAGCAAAAATGTGGTGCCATGCGGAAACAACTGTGGTTAGGCCCAATCCAACATCAGTGTTCAGCATTGGAAATTTGGTGTTTGGTGTCAGGTGAGGCAAGCCTCAATTTGCAATGGTTAGACCGCTCTACAAATCGAAGAGCATACATTGTATGCTCTAACTAACTGGAGCATGCCTGCAAGCACGCTCTAGCTAGCGCATGCCTGCCAAGCATGCACTTACTAGTGCATACATGCCATGTGCACGCTTCCTGATGCAGGCAACTCCCTATCCCTGATGCACTGGATGCATGCTTCAGTTAGCGTGCACATGGCATGTATGCACTAGTAAGTGCATGCTTGGCAGGCATGCTCCAGTGAGAGCATACAATGTACGCTCTTCGATTTGTAGAGCGGGTTAGACCCAATACCGCGGAGGGATTGTCGAATTCCGCGCAGGCTGCGCCTCATTGCCAGCCAGCCAGCCAGCCACACGCACCAGCCCGCCCCGGCCGCCAGCCCCTATTATATTGTTAGGATACGCGCTTGGTTTCTGGACTCGAGAGTAAAAGCACGCTGACACCTTCATTTGTGTATAGTAGTTTTAAGTATGTTTCAAGTGTGAAGGTATCATCTGCTAAAAACGAGTCGAGAAAAGTTCCCATTTAAATGCGTTCAACAAATTGCTTTTGTCTTCTACGGGCACGGGCATGGATTCACCAGGAAAAGGTAGGTGACATGTGCCTGGGCACTGAACGGAAAATGCCGCACACTCATGCATGCAGCACGGCGAGGCTGCAACGGCGGACTCTTGGACCAGACGGCGGCGCGTGCACCGCTCCCGCCACGCTGTCTCGCTCGCACTCACTGGGCGGCCCGTTGCGGTGCGAGACAGAGCGAAGAGGGCCTTACTCTGGTGCGGCTGATCACGAGGAGTCAGAACCAGTCGCGACCAGTCTCGGCCAGCCTTACACCCCGGCACCATGCTCCGTCTCTTCACCGCGGCGGCGGCAGCCACCGGGAGCCGCACCATGACCATGTGAGTCACACAGTAAAAACCGGTAAAAACTCTACGAAGAACCGCTTCGTAATACGAAGAAAATGAAGACATTGTAAAATCTACGAAGAAATGCTTCGTATTACAAAGCAAAATCCTTCATAATACGAAGCAATTCTACATTGCCTTCATTTTACCCAAATGATTCGTAGGCTTGTAAGAGTGCAAGGTCAATGATTGAGAAGGCAGCCGTTCGATGAGTTTGTTCCCCGAGTTCCCCTTGTTCCAGGCTCGCTCCGAGCGCAGTAAGGCGGGAACAAATCGAAACGGTTCGACGGATGAACGACTACTTCCCGGAGGTGGTCGCGCAGATGAAACGGCTGGGCGACGCGTGCCAGCTGGTGGGCGAGACGACTTGGCTGGAGAAGGTGCGACCAGTGTAGTGATTGAGTGGAATGCTCTACAAATCGAAACTTACGTCTGCACTTACTGAACAGTGTGCTTGAGGAAAAAAAATCGTTACATATGGATGTATGCAGCAAACCTGGCATGTGCACCCCACGCTGGAGCGTGCATGCCAAGTACACGCCACGCTGGAGCACTTACACGACAGGATAGGCTGTACCTACAAGAACACTATTGCTTTGCTTTGCATGCAAAAGGTATGTTAGGGGACTTCAGCAAGGCGTACCGCGGTGCTTGCAGGAATGCGCCACCTGACGTATGTACTTGGCAAGCATGCTCCAGCGTGGAGTGTACATGCCAGGTTTGCTCAAGGTGGAGTGTACTTCGGCGTACTTGCAGGGGTGCTTCAACGTGAAGCATAGTGCACACTTGAGTTTGTAGAGTGCGTACTATGTGCTGTGTTATGCAATGTGGGATGTGCGCGACTTAGATCAGTTACGCTTGAGACGAACTGACGGCGGCTTCTGCAGATGCTGTACTACACAGTGCCTGGAGGCAAGATGACACGCGCCATCATCGCGTACAACGGCATCGTGCTCCTGGGCGGCAAGGACACGCCCGGCATCAAGGAGAAAGCCATGAACATAGCCTGGAGCCTGGAAATGGTAACAGCCATCACGCACAGAGCGCATAAATTCCAAATCTTGGGTGCCTAGAAACTCGTTTACCCCGTATACCCTATGGGGTATACGCCTTTGGCGTCTAGAATCAAGGCGCCTGAAGGCGCTCGCTTTTCTGGCATACGCCTAAGGCGTATCGTTTCTAGACACCCAAGATTAGGAGTGTAGCCGTCACTTGCGAGAAGTATCCTGTTCAATGGCTGCTTCTTTTAGCTGCAAGCGGCCATCATCGCTGCGGACGACATCTCAGACGCCACCAACACGAGGCGAGGGAGGGACGCCTGGCACACGATCGCTGGCAGAGACGCCGTCTTCGACGTGATGCTCGTCGAGAACTGCGCCTACTGCTTGCTCGGGCTGCACTGCGAAGGAGAGCCATACGTGCGCACACTGAGGCATTACACCGAGGTGGGTTTGTTTGCACTGAGAATGAAAGAGTCACCACCATCGCCCTTTCATTGGGTAACGCACGCACCGTTGCCCAAATTTGGGTGACGAGCCCGTGGTGACCAAATTTTGGGCAGTCATAAAATCGTCGCCCAAATTTGGGTAACGTCGTCGGCGATGCCGTAAGGTTCCCGATGACGCTCTTCCGGGGCCACCACGATGACCCAATGTGGCCTTGAGGCCTCGGTCATCGTGGTGGCCCTGGAAGGATGTCATCGGGAACCTCACGGCCTTACCCAAATTTGGGCGACCAAACGCCTGTTACCAAATTTCGGGTAATGAATTTTTCGTTACCAAAATTTGGGCAACGAAGTTGCATCACCCATTTAAAGGGCGATGGTGGTGACCAATTCATTCTCAGTGTGAAGGAAATCAGGGCCAGAAGAGTACAGAGTGGACACTGGTAGCCAACGAATGTGACGTCATATTTGTTGGAGTGTGAATTTTGTCACGATCGTTTGAATATGATGTCACATTCGTTTGAACGTGACTCAGCCGTTTAAGTAGGGTGTCACATTCGTATGAACGTGGATCAACATTCAAACGAATGTGACATCATATTCAAACGACAAAATTCACATTGGAACGAATATGACGTCACATTCGTTGGCTACCAGTGTACTTACTCGAAACCCTACAGTAAACGTTCTCTGTAATACAAAGAGAACGACGGCTTCATAGCCTACACAGGAAATATGGGTTTCACAAATTATTCGGTATTCTTTATATAATACAAAGGAGTCGTTGAAAGTTGAGGAGCACTTTTTGACATTTGACTTTCTACAAACAAAATAGTTTGTAATGGAAACAATTTTCTTCGTAGGCTGCGAGGTCTCCGTTTTCTTTGTTCCTACAAAGAACTATCTCTATCAGAATTCGTCTGTTCACTGCGTTCGCCGTTGAATTTATACAACAATGGAAGCTCACGTGTAAGTCTTTCCCTTGATGCTAGCTTACTCACACAGCCGAAAATACAAGTACCTATAACGGATCTAACATCCGCTTACGGATGAAGGCATCCATTGAAACTCTACTATGCAGTCCAGCCGTCTGCTAGTAGGCCGATTGTGGCAGCGTCTGGAACGCATAGGATTCCAGGCAGGCAGTCAGTACCACTGACGAGGCTGTTTGCCACTGGTCCTGTACAAGCTGTGTAGGCAATGCCGCATGCTTCAGAGTCGGGGGGAATATCAGGGTTTGTGACGATTTCTTGAGAAAATGACGTACTGGTGTGGTTCACAAACTGCGTTTTTTAGATTATGTTTCAGATCAGCATGGGTCAGAATCAAGACAATCACTGCAGAGACTCAGAGGGCCTGGCTAAGACCAACGAATTCACTATGGAGAAGTACGTACCGATCTGCCAGCACAAGAGCGGAGGATACTCGTTTTACTTGCCAATGGCCACGGCACTGAATGTGGTAAGGGCATCTGAGGAGCAAGAGCATAGCGGCCTTTCAATGGCTTCGAGAACGCTGACCGACCAGATTTAAATTTGAATCATCTTTTTCTCAGAGTGGCATTTTTGACAAGGCTGCGCACGACGCTGCGCTGGATTTAAGCAAGGATCTCGGTCTTCTGTACCAAGTTCAGGTGGGCCACAAAAACAGAGCCGGGCCATGGGAGGGAGAGAGAGAGAGAGAGAGAGAGAGAGAGAGAGAGAGAGAAGGGAGAGAGAGAGAGAGAGAGAGAGAGAGAGAGAGAGAGAGAGAGAGAGAGAGAGAGAGAGAGAGAGAGAGAGAGAGAGAGAGAGAATACCGCCTCCTCTCATGGCAAGGTTTTGACTGGTTTTGATTAATGGCTTACGCAGATAAATTGGCAATGCCATTATAATACACAGGATGACTATTTGGACATATATGGAGTTCTCAAGAAGATGGGCAAGGTAAGAAGCGACATTAGAAATGGAAAATGCACGTGGTTGATTATCGAAGCGCTGAACCGCGCGAACGACGAGCAGCGGCGGAGGCTGAAGGTACGCTATCGCGGCCACTCTTCTCATTTATGTTTTCTTTCATGTTTTTTTACTTTTTTTTCTTCTCTTGTTTGACGTTCCTCTAGGAAAATTACGGTTACGATGATGAGAAGAAGATCGCCAACGTAATGGAAGTGTTTGCAGAAATGAAAATGAAGGAAGTCTTCCTTCGTTGGGAGAAATCAATGATGGACGCGATTGAGAAGAAAATCCACAAATATTCAGACGTGGTCAGACCAGAACTCTTCATTCATGCCCTTGAAGCTATTAAGTACCACGTAAACAGATAAAAATAAAAGTCTGAGCAAGCAAAAATATTGAACAACTCATTCAGACCTCAAGTACACCAGAATGTCTCTTGGATGATAATAACTTAGGTTAAGAACCTTTTAGGGGTCGACCCTTTTGGCCGTTGAAGGCTTAACATCCAAATTCGTTGTTCTGCTTCAAAACCAAGTTTCCTTGACCTCTGGATTCACAACAATACACTGCAAATCCAAGTGTGGGACATACTGTTACTATTTGGCCTGAGCCAAAATATGTCTCACGCTTGGAAGCGGGAGACTAAGACAAGACACTGTTCGTCCCACACTTTTTGTCTTTGCTTGCTAGTTCAATGCTGCGTGACCGGCGACTGCAAGCGTGAGAAATTTTGGCTCACACCGAAAAAACACTGATAAAACTAAAGCATAGTATTACCCTCTGTTTTCAAGCATAGTCAGTTTACGCTTGAAATCAAGCGTAACAGGCTCATCCACCAAAAATCCTCCTATCTAAATGCATGGGGAAATTTCTAGTCTATGCTTCATTTCAAGCGCAACGTCTTAAGCGTAACATTATGCTTGACTCATGCATAGAGTTACGCTTTAGTTTTACCAGTGAATGTGAGACTGTCCTATATTTGGATTTGAAGTGTTCCGTAAACTTTCTACAAAGCTTGACGAGAATGGCCGGGCAAAAGACGTAGTATTTTTAACCGGCGCAAGCCGTTGAAACGTGTCGTAGATTCAGAGAGCTTTCTCGGTGCATCCGGCCCGCTGTGTGATTAATGACCACGCAGCCGATTTTTCGCAGGCAGGCGACGCCCCGCGACGCCCCGCGACGCCCCACGCAAGGTTCGGCCGGGAGTCCGGGAGGAAGTCGGAGACGCCTGGCGGCTGAGCGATCATCCGCCCCGCGCGCCGCAAGCCCTGAGGTCGCGAACCTCGCGCGGGCTCTGACCTTCCACTGCATGGCAAAAGCAGTACCTGGGATCCCCAGGTGGCTCCTGGAAAATAAACACCATATTGTAGAGTGGGTCAAGGAATCCCCAGGCACTGCTATTGCCGTGTGGGAGCTGGGAGAATAGCGCTACCCATCCACCATATGTGGAGACTCTGACGAAGTATCCCCGTGGCCCCGTAATCACTGTCACTACACCCTGCCCGCCGTGCCTAGCGCTGCAAGCCGCAAGGGATCACTACACAGTTTCTCGACGAATTCTTCCACACTTAAACCAATTCTTCCACAATTCAACCAGAAGTGTCATGCAAACGTCGGAACAGGATTTGGAGTCGTGCAGTTTTGAGTACGGCCCCACTGTGAAACCAAACGTGGACTCTGGTGTGGAGAAAGTCTCCACACTTGGAAAGGCAGAGTTCGCCGGAGGTCGCAGCCTCCACACTTCAAGTGTGGAGCCCCTATCTCTTTGCATGGTACAAACGTGGACAACTCCACGCTTGAAGTGTGGAGACTGCAAACTCTGCACTTCCAAGTGTGGAGACTGAAAATTCCACACCTCTGCACTTCAAGGGTGGATTTGTCCACGTTTGGTTTTACAGTGCCGAATCCGACCCGAAAGCACCGATGAACGATGAACTGCAAAGGAGTCCCATACAGTGACGCTGAATCGCGCACACCACCCTGCCTCCTCTTCTTGCAGTGTATCGGGGGTGCCTCTATGCGAGGGGCCGCGCTGGAGAAAGGGACTGGAGGGAGGGCTGGCGGGAGGACTGGCGGGAGGTGCGTCCGGAAATGACTTTCTATCAATCAGCCGCCTCCGAGCTTCCGGCGTAGGAATCACTGCCTTCCGTGAGTTCCGCCCCTGGCCGCCCCTGGCCGCCCCGCCACGCACGGGGTGCCGGGAGGTGCCCCCTCCCCGCCCCGCCGCGCCCCGCCGCGCCCCGCCGCCACGTCAAGTCCGACGCTGACCTGAGTGAGTGCGGCTGGCTGCCACACTGCGTGCCACACTCGCACGCGGGAGGCGGGGGAAAGTGGAATGGTGTGTTTCGTTCTTGGGATAAATACATGTCCGTGGCACTGCACTCGGTTGTTGCGGTGGGGTGGAAGTGAAGCCCACGGAGGCAAACAATACGTTGTTTCGTGTTTGTGTATTTTTTGTTTGTTCTACTTTGTGTTGTTATATATCAGCTGCTATCCATTCAACGGCACAATACAGTCCAATGTGGTGCACAGCGGAAAACGATTCCACTGAGAATCCAAACGCTTTGAGTATAGCGTCAATTGGTGCAATGCAAAAGCATTGCACATGAAGTGCAATGCCTCCCCATTCCCATGCATTAGCATAGGGCATTTTAGGGACGTATTGCACGTAAGGTGCAATAGGGGAAGTTGCCAAAATTGTGGGTCCTTTTGTGTCTTTGGGCCACAGTTTCCTTATTTTTCAACGTATCGACCTGCGGTTTGATTCCTATGACTGGGCTTTATCTGCCCTGCTATCCCACACACTAACCGAGCATGCAGTTCAAGCATTTCCCTGTCAAAACATGCTAAAACTAGGCAAAATGTAACTTCCGTGCTGTCCATTGTCCAAAAAGTCCGTGTTCCAGGGCGAAAATCTCCTGAACTATTTGTCGGAGAGCAAATCCGCGAACAGCCTTTTGTTCCGTTGGCAATCTTTTATGACACCCTTGGATAGCAATTTATTCCAGTGATTCACACCTGCTGCTTTATTGGATGAAAAAATGTCCACCGTGTACTGGTTTTCAAACATCGTCAACTTTAGTTTCGCGCCTCACCGCCGAACCTGTAGCGAGAAAAGTTTGGCTCAGCGTCCAGAATGAGCAGCGTGGTTTCCTCTTTCCGGCGCGGTAGGCGGATTTTCGCTGGAGGGCTCCATTCCGGCTGGCTGGACCATCAAAGGTGAAAATCCGGCATGTGTCAGGTTTGTGTGTAACATTCCGTGTCATCAATAGCAAGCTTGCTACACGGCCTATCGATTTCGGTCCGCCTGGCCATTTTGCGCTTTCACGTCTCTTAAACTTTAGGCGAGACACCTGTTCGATTTGGTGAATGGGTTGGTCCGTTTTCACGGTTTGTTTGATGATGTAACTTCCGTGCCATGCACATTTTCGGTAACTTCCGTGCCATTCCCCCATGTAAAGTATAGGGGAAAAATCAAAGTGCGGGAAAATCCTGGCCTCCTTCGGAAATGCGTTTAGAATGACCCCTAGAATACAGGAAAAATACTAAAAAAAATTTAGAACGAGATATTTTTTTCATTTTTTTAGGAGCCAAAAGGACCCACAATTTTGGCAACTTCCCATATGGCTATGGCATTGCACGTATGGTGCGATATCTCAGCTGCATTGCACCATACGTGCTATACTCATAGCGTTTGGAATGTCAGTGTCGGTACATCAATTTGCAAAGGGCCGTCAACAAGAATTTCTTGAGGGAAAAGAAACCTCAAAGTTCCGCCTCCACCGTCGTTCTTTCCGGGTAGAGGTCGGTGCCCGGGTGCCACACCACAGCGCTCGCCGCGAACCCTGGGGCCCCATCCCTTGGTCTAATTCGAGATTGCAACCGACGTCCAAAATGCGGAACGTGCGAGGAAGGGCGTTATTTGTTCCCTTCGGCGCGGAGGGCTGGGCCCTCGGCTGGGCCGGAAGACGCGGGGTGCGGCTTTGACAAATTGTCGAATGCGCCTCGCCTCGGACGTGTACAGAGCGGGGCGCGAGGGGGCGGGGCGGGGCGGGGCGGGGCGGGGTGGGGCGGGGCGGGGCGGGGCGGCCCGCGCTGCAGGCGGCGTCGCCGTGCGGCGCAGGTACGGGGGATGCACAACAAAGAGTGGATAAGGAAGAGGAAGGCGGGAGGCGCCGAGGCGGCTCGTGGCAGTGTGGGGCACCAACTTGGAAAAGACTTCCCGCGCCGCGTCCGGGGCGGTGCGGGGGCGGTGGTGCGGGCGCGGTGCAGCGCGGTGGCCAACTCCAAGCAAACTTTTATTATTGAAATATAGGTAAATAGTCGGCGTTATCGCACCATTATCCCATTAACGCCTGAATTGGCCATTTCAGCGCGGCGCCGCCCTCGAGAAAAAAAATCGGGTTCTGGGTGGCGCCGACTCGGAACACCTCTCTGCATGCTAATTGAGCGATACTTCACCGCAATTTCGTTGTGGCTGAGGTGGCGGCGCTCGCCTTTAAACGAGCAGCGAACAGCACGGTGCGGCCGCGCCCGTTCCGGAGTGCTTTCGTTCGCAGTGCGGGCAGGCAAGGCCGAGGCAAGGCCGAGGCAAGGCCGGCAGGGCGCCTGATTATTTGGCCGCCTCGTGGGGCCGTGCCGCCGTGCCGTGCCACGCCGCGCCGCGACGTGCCGTGCCGTGCCGTGCCGTGCCGTGCCGTACCGTGCCGTGCCGTGCCACGCCGCGCCGTGCCGTACCATGCCACGCCACGCCGTGCCGTGCCGTGCCGTGGCATCCCGACCGAAGATTGCGGCGCGCAGTCAATTCCTACGTGAATCTGGCGGCCCGATTCGCCGCCCTCCGAGTTGGAGGGAAAATGACTGGCGGTGCTTTCCTTTGCGGCGGACGGCAGTGTTTCCAGGGACTGCGTTACTCCGTTCACCTTCATCGGCCTGGCCCCGCCCCGCCCCGCCCCGCCCCGCCCCGCCCCGCCCCGCCCGCTCGCCCGGCCGCTCCCTCGGGGACGACGTGAGGATTGCTCCGACATTCTTTACGGAGGGGCGGGGAGGGTGCGCGCCAACAACTCGATACAGGTCCTGTATGGGGAAAGGGAGAAAAATCCGAGGCAGCCCAGGATTACGTAGTGCCGGGCAGGGCGCTGGGCTGCCGGGGCTGCCTGGCACGAGGAGACATCTCAGTAACCCGATCGTCCCCTGCCTCGCCCCGCCCTGCCGCGCCCCGCCCCGCCCCACCCTAGGGCTCACTACGGCGCCATTATTCGCCTTGGAAATTCGCCACAATGTCCGGGCCTGAGAATGCGACCATTAATGGTTCCGAAAGTAAAAGAGGGAGGGAGGTAACGTATATTTGCGATCTGCTCTACTAATATTTACTCTTAAAACCTCCCGACGTATT